GCTTCTTGTTTGCCAGCCAACAATGGAAAAAGTCAGGTCAGTCTGCATTATGCACGGCAGCATAATCCCACCCTGCATAATTCCCTTTTAAAATGCTTTCTGGTGTGTTCCCTAGAGTTGAGAAATGCACATTTGAACATGGGCAAGCCTTCACCCTCCAACAGCTAAACAAACTTGCTGCTGGTTTCCACCTTTAGTTCAACTGAGGGAAAATGTTTTTTTTTGTTTGTTTGTTTTTTAATTGTCTGTCACACAGACATTAGCTGCAGCATTTTCAAGCCATGTCTACTTTTTCATGTCACAATCAGTTCCTCCTCCATCTGATGAAATATGCATCGCCAGCCTACATGTACAGCCGACAAAACAATCCAAGATGCTTTTGCTTTGTTTGCCTTTACATTGTACCTTAACCAGGGCAATTATGCTACTGGTGTGGGAGTTTTATCTGGTTTTAACAGAGTTTATTGAATGCAAATCATTCCTCCAGCACATTAGCAGCTGTGGTTCCATCCTCTCTTTCTAATCTCGTGTGCTTTGCAGCAACATCTACACAGGAAGGGGATGCATGCGAGAAAGTAATCCAATAGTCCCAAGTAAGCCACAAGTCATTTCCCAGCGAGCATGCATCATGTTGCCCACACCGCCTGGAAGAACCCATAAAACATTCGGATCCCAAAATAAAAACATTGTTCCAGATATCCTGCTAGTTGCCTTCCTTGGGTAACAGATGAAAGTGTGTTTGTTCCATTCGTCATGGGATTGCTACAGGCAAGCATCTGATGAGGCGGCGTGACTCAAGATCTGCATGCAACGGTTTTAAACCCACAGTTTTACTAGCAACCTTAATCTATAGACCACCGAGTCAATCTCCTCATCCACTTTACTACAGTAAAATTTGATGTTGGTAAACTTGCTACAGGGGAAGAAACCAGAACTGAACAGGATTTGTTCAACAGTTTTGGAAATGGAGCAACACGATAGCTAAAATCAAAATCATCTTTATATTGACCGTTAGGATTTTCCACACTAATTTTGCTCATTTATATTCCAGTGAATAATAAATGCTCATCTCAGGCATCTACACAATCACAGAAAAGCATTTTTTGAAAACATGCATCTCTACTTTTTAACACCAGATTGTAGAGTTAGAAACCATCTGGAATGAGCTCAGGAGAGCAGCAAAGATTATGTTTAACATAATCATGATTATTCCCCAATAGGGAATAATCATTATTTCACATTTTAGCATGTTAGACACATTTTAGCATGTTAGACAACTTTAGCTGTGTTGCATTATTTTAATCGGTAAAGTATTGGGAAGGCTTTTTTTTTTTTATTTAAACGGCATTAAAGTGTCCATTATTTAAGATTTTCCCTTTAGTGGCCTTAAATCAAGCAATGAAGGACTATAAAGCAGACGCAGACAGAAAGGAGGATCCTCTCAAGGGCAGGTGGAGGGATTTAAGCCTGGTCGTCCGGCAGCGACATGGACACTCAACGTTCATACTTAAACACCCCGATCTGCCCACTTCATTCAACCCCAAGCAATAAAATGTGTTTTTAGCAGAGAAGACCTCCAGGAAGTCCAACATTATGGCTGTAATTTTAAAACTTCACATAAATCTTACACGGATTTAAAAAGGACATCAAGTATTGATCGTTTCCTCATAGGAAGTTAGCCAGGCTTCTTCTGGTTTACAACCATCCCAACCTCTGGCTTGGAGAAACTTACAATGTAATCATTTCAATCCGACAGGTCTGTGGAAGCGTGCACTTATAAAGCAAGAGCCCAAAAAGCAGTTAGTATAGCACTTTGTTTTCCAGGAGTGATTACTCAGTGACCTATATAAAGAGGCACTTACGATAAATGGCTGCCTTAGCAGCCCGAGTCTTAGGAATAGCAAGAAAAAAACATTAGCACACCAGGAACCCCGGAAAAGGCTCCCCTGCTGATCAGAAATAACGATGAGGAAGTGGCTGAAACCCAAGACAGCTCTGGGAAAATCTATGCAAGTCTTCAAACCAATGACTAATTATGCTGAATTTAAGATGTGCAACACATCTGGGACAAAAAATGTTCAAAGAAAACATACATTACTCCAGCCTTGGCTGGACTAGATTGATTATTTGCATGGATGAAACTAGAGATTCACTACAAAACTGGCCAATTTGAAAGATAAAGGGTTCGGTGTCGAGCCAACCAATTTTGCATTTTTCCCCTCCGTCGCTAATAAACCACTATATCAGCATAGAGCTCAAGTAGAAAGACTAATACTCAATTCTACAATATCACTACATATAGCTGTAATAAGGTGCAGCAGTATTCAGCAAAGCACTTCTATACGTATAGTCAAAAACATGGGAACTCTTGAGGCTTGTCATTTCATATTTTTGCACTTTTGCTTAGCTCATCTTATACCACAGAATGTCAATTTGTATCAAGCTTGGGATAATTCAATCTGGCAAATAAAGACGAACTAGAGCAGACTTCACCAAAACGGCAAAGTCGTGTTCAAAAGTAGAACAATGTGTTTTTTTTTTGCCGCTTTTAACCACTCCTGGAATATGCTCCTTTTTGAAATGTTGACAACCTTTTGGAAAACTCAAACTCAAACAGTTTTAGTAATGGTATGCTGGGCGCCAAGATGGTGTAGTTCAAGACTCCAACCCCTTTCATCTTGGTTTTAAGCAAACCCTTTTTACAGTAGCTGTTCTCAGCGTGACCCCACTTCTGCTCCCAAGAGAGGGTAGGAGAAAAAAATAAAATAAAACTATGGGAAGGATTTTTTTTTTTTTTAAGTTGCTACAATGCCAGAAGTGAAGCTGTTAAAAGGTTGATACTGGAGGTTGGAAAACTACCTGCCTAAACACAGCATCTTCAATCCTCAACTGCAACGATGCCAGTGAACCATAAACATCATCATCGTATTATTTTATACTCAAGTAAAAATTGTGAACTTCAATTTGTGCATAGAATGTTATAAACAAGCAGCCAAGTCTTTAAAACATCTGCATGCATTACCAACAGGCCCTCACTTCCATTATGGTGGACAGCTTTAGAAATTATCTTCATCCAGTCAGCTTCTGTTGTGGCCATTACCACAAGGCAATAAAAGCACATATTTTCTAGTGGATGACTATCGATTGCCTGTAGATTTATTCATTGACTGCATTTTCCCAAAAGTGATAGTTGCATCAACAGTTCAGGACAAACAAGAACAGGCTGATGGCACAACGCCAGACGAAAATGCACGTCTTGCTTTCACGCAACTGCACAAATGAGATCAGTGGCTGCGCTTTCATTTTACTGCAACTTTAACAGGATTATTCACGAGACGGGAATAAAAGTCATATGACCAGCTTTAAACCAACAAGGCAGGCCGGCGGTGGGATGAGAGGAGAAATTTGAGGAATGTCACGGCCCAGCCGGTGCCCCAATTGCTAAGGAGTCGGGAAAGTCGAAGTGCGGAAAACTTCAGAGTCTTGTGATTAAAGTTTTCAGACCATGTGGCCTTAAATGGGGGGGGGGGAACATTTACATATTTGTATTGTTTAACGGTGAAAAAGAAATGCCATTTTTGCTCCGTCACACATCAACAGCAGGAAACATTTCTATAATCCCTTCAACATCCTGCCTCCTATGAACAGTAATGAAATAATAACCTGGTAAACTTCACCAAGTGAGTAAATGAAACATTTGAAATTGCTTCCGAATTATCCATGACCCAGAGCGTTCCGCCGCAGGCTCATCAGCGTCGCAGGTTGACACAAGTACCTGTTGAGACGCAGTATGCAGAATAATCATCCTGTGGGTTTTAATTCATCTGTAATAAAACAGGTCTTGCATTAGACTGAAGGTTATTTCACAGTCGTCTCTGAATCCTCTTCAGCCTGCGAGTTGTGCTACAGGATGGGTGTCATTTATAGAAATCTTTATAAAATAAGTAGTTAGCTGGGACTTAACTTCTAGGCCTGGCAGCTTTGCCATTCTCTTTCTACTGAGTCACGCAGGGGTCACGGAGCACATGTGACTCAGGGTTTGAGGAAAACACGAGTTTGCCAGACTGAACCGATCCAAGTGACCAAGAAAATCCATGAACTCATTGGTTAAAATGAAAATAAGGAGAAAATTCTAGCCATGTTCGAGTCCCAATTGGGAAACGTATGTTTAAGCAGTTCTTGTGCTACGCAAGGTCAGCAGGCAGTGAAGCGCACGAGTTGCCAAAATATCCACATTTACAGGAAGGTCAGAAGAGCTGCACTCCGAGTCATAGTAAATACAATTTCAGAGCGTTTGTCCGCACATTCATTTGCGTTCTTGTTTTCATCTCATTCGTGAAAAGTTAACAAATGTCCAACAGCAATTCAGAGATTCAGTGATTTCGCAACTCTAGTTGCAGTCATGCAAAATGGACATGAGGATCAAAAGTGCTTATTAGTTGATTTCTCTTGCCCATTTTAGTAGCATTTACACCCAATTACAGGTCAGCTTTGAAACCTCATTTCCATTTGAAAATGTCAACTTTGTTGGCACAAAATTATGAGTCACTGGAAGTATGAAATATAAAATGGAAACAGCACATCAGAATTATCTAGACTATCCGACTTCTACCCACATGGAGAAAAAGATGAAATCCGGCCATTTAAGAGAAAGAAAAATATCCTTGTTTAGATTAGAATAAAGATTATAGGGGTGTGATAATGTTATACGTCCATCCTTATCTGTGCTTACAACATATGATTATGGTTTCAGAGCAGCCTAGCTTGAAGCAACATGGGATCTCCATAAACCAGTCAACAGGGCCAGCATAATGCAATCACTTTCTCCGTTTCCACCTATGGCTGAAATGTAGCCAAATGAAGTTCATGTATTTGAGACAGAAGAATAATTTCTAGGGTAAATACAGTGGTTCCACCTTTGTATTCTTGAACAGATATACCTCAGATTGCAACCAAGGACAGAAAAAAAAAAACTTCAGAAGTTTAAAACTTTAACATACCTGGCTCTGAACAGTTCTTTGGTTCTGTGTCATTTTCAGATCTGGAAGCCATTAGTCTTCTACCCCAGTGTTCAAGGTCTGGATGTCCCTCCACAATCATCCCATGCCCTGAAAAAAGAAAAAAACGGAACCGATTAGCCAACAGTAGCAGATACACATTCAATTCTTGCAGCATGTCATGCATTTAAAAGTTAACTGTAGAACCTGTAGTTTTAAAGAAACCTTAACTCAATTCTGCAACAAAAAAAAAAAAAAAAAAAGCTGATGTTTTACAGCACATTTCATGCGCAGGAATCCATGATCATCCAACCAAGGTTTACTTTCACTTAATCCTTTAAAAGTTCTCATTTATGTAGATGTGGAGTTTTTATCCAGCACCGACACGACGTCAAAATACAGCTGTGCCATTATGTTTTAGGGGTGGAGGCTTTTTTTTAATAAAACTGCTTTTAAGCCTCTAATGAGGACAAGAGGGGGAGAAAAAAAAAAAATCTCAAACCTATTATGTAAAGTCGTTCAAATGCACCGAGCATCACTTTAAAGTTGCAATTTTCATAAAACGCTGTGATGCAAAGCCAATGCTGGACTGTGGCACAGGATGATGAAACAGTGATGCTGTGTGCACATTTGTACTGCTCACAAGGGAATATAGACAACTAATAAGGCAGTGCTTAATTCATCCAGAGCTTAGCCAATCAGTCTTGCTGCTTCTGTCTAGCTTCAACTCATGGATTATTAAACAAAAACTATCTAATGCACATAATGCATGTAGATATTTCCAGCTCCAGGCTAAACTGCATAAATTCCACTTTTAAAAACAAGATTACACATTACAGAACTTGGACCCATCTACAAATTTTATTGCCTGCAACCAATGCCATTTCCCCCCCCCCACCCCAAAATCTCCTGGTTTGTCTCAAAGATAATCCAATGGTATAACCATCTGAATTCAACAAAAAATATCTTTCTACAAATTAAGTTCCCTGATGGTTGAAAGGCATCTACACATATGTACAACTGCACAAATAAGTTTTGAGAAACGTTCCACTTAAATAGTGATTAACATACTAAAATGCCATTTTTGTCATGCAAGAAGTCAGAATAGCCAAGATGGCCACAAAATGGTGTACCGACAAAAGGGAAATCAATCACAAGTCAACCTACAGAGGATATGTCACCCCATCATCGATTTTAATACACAACTCGTGTATGACTGCAGTACTAAACTTTCTGAAAAAAAAAAAAAAAAAAAAAGAAGGAAAGGTTACAAAATTGATTAGACTTTTGACAAGACTAGTAGTTTTTATAAGTACCTGATATCCAAGTTTCACAATACATTTGATTCTGTATTCTTTGGCTCATTTGTTAAAACATACCATAAATCAATTATTATGCAGGGGATTGCCGTTTAATAATTGGACTCCCAAATCAAATTCTGCTTGAGGTATAACCCAGTCTCAAAAAGTGTTTAAAATATATATAAAAAGTTCAGTATTATAGAATTAAATCCTCATTTCCAGGCATCAGACAAGAACAACAGTGCTAAACTTGCCACAAATAGTTTTTTCTAGACTCAAAGACCAATCCAAAAGTATTTCAGAAGCCACTAAATCAAATTACATTTGATGAGACGCTACCGCTTCCCACAATTTGTTGCTTTCCAAGAACAAACTCTCCAGCTATCAGTTTAAACCATTTTCACCAGTCAAGTCATTTGGCTGGTCTGACATCTCTGGCCTCCCCCCTCGATCAGATGTTCCACTGAAAGCCATCCAATTTCATATCTTATCACTAGACCAGTTTATAATAATGTGGCCTGTGTGCGATATTAGAAAACTGGATTAGATATACACAGTCATTTTAAATTTAGTGAAACAGTTCATCAAATTGCAGTTTTCCATACCAGTTACTTGTGAAACCACATGCTCACAACTATGACATTTCCACTTAAAGAGTCAACACAGGGCGACAGTTTGAGCTGTCCAGTTTACCACCAAGTTGCATTCATTTAAGGATGCGATTCTGTCAGCACCTCTGGGCAGACAGAGAGGGTGTCGGCGCTATAATACGAGCTACAGCCAGTTGTGTGACACTGCTGCCTTGTGCAACATCAGATCTCCTACAGACAGTGTTTTCATTCATTTATATTCACAGAATCATGATCGTGCACACTTTAAAAACAGGAAATTGTAATTGTGGTGCCTTTATACCCAAAAACTGAAAAACTAAATAATGTAAAGCCTTTGAGAGGAGAGTTGGGAGGATAAGAGTAATACAGGATTCAATATGGCCTATACAGACAAAACCCACTACTTACAATGTAATAAGACCAAGGGGAAATTTACCCAACATGAACATCTTTACCATGGGATCCCCCCCACCCCACTGAATAAATACATTCTAGAAAAAGTTTCAAGTGCAAGATTATACGACAAAAAGTGAGGTCAAGCATACCTCCATTGTGTGAGACGTGTTCATGTAACGCAAACCTAAAATGACCAAAGACTGCCATGCAAAAAAAAAATATTCAGAAGTCCAAGCCCACCTTGAGAAAAATCAGTAAATTTGCCTGCGGTTGACACTACTGAACATCCGACGCAGGCAGTAATGGTTTAATAACATCCTCTCGCTCTGTCTGAGAAGCCCAGGAGGCAGATAAACCAAGGTAAACCATCCATCAAAAGTCACACGATGTGAACAAGCACACCTCAATTTTTTGCTACCATAATTTTTTTGCTCAATCACACAGTCAGCCTGTCAGAGCAATGCCCCGCTGCTCAACACACCTGTTCCTGCCACCCGCCCGCAGGTCTGCTACATGTGCATATGCACGCAGCGATCAGCGGGAATTACGGCATGTTGAGCCCCACCCCTGCTCCACAAAGATGCAACCCAGAGGCAGCACAGCACATCCTATCCATCTGGGCCGGTCGGCAAATCATTTGCCACCAGTAGTCTTAGCTCACCTTTAGCTTACATAGTGGATGTCCGTTCTTGGTGGCAGGAAATGGGAAACTTTCCCCCCCTCCCCTTTTAAGAGAGAAGTGTGGGAGCCGTTTTTACTCATGAGTGTGCAGCAACAAGTAGAGGAGGGGCAGCACTGCATCTCATATGGTAAGAAAACAAAATCCCCTTCTCGTAACTGCCATCTCAGTACATTTACATTACTATTAAAAAAATGGCAAAATGAGAACTGGTTTTAAAACATTGGTACAACTGGTCCATGGTAAACACTATAGCTTCATTGTCCATCCCAAATCCTCTCTAAAGGTTGGAAGTCTAATAAGTCAGCATCAAAAGGCCGCTCATGCTCAGCTTTGGGTGGTCCTGAGTCAGAAGATCAAATGAAAACATAGGTCCTCAACAATGGCTTCTAGAACAAACCATCAGGGATTCATTCCATTATAATCCATAATATAATTTCAGAATAATCTTTTAAGCCTCTTGTTTCTAGTGTAATTAACAAAACACTTGTGGTAATCCCTTAAGGGTCTGAAATCAGGTACACCAAGTGTTTGAATGCCTTTAGCCCAGAACTGCTGAGCAGTAGGGGCTAAAGGACCAGCAGACAGCACATCAGGTTCTCATCTAGTGTCTTAACCAGCAAGTTCTATTTTTAAGGCATTGCAGTTGCATCTTTGAGCTATAAACAAAGTCCATGGTTTCTCCCCTCCCCAAGGCTCAAGTCCACATCCTGCTCTTAATTTATACATGCCACCCCTGAAATCTCAAGTTTTCACAGTTATGTGAATGATCCACAGCTTTAAACAGGCATGTCTCCCGATGAGACGGGACCATCAGATGCCCTTTCTAACCAGATCCAAGATATGGGTAAAAACATTTTCTACACTGCAACCAAAACAAAGTAGTCAGTCTTAAGCATTGTGAAACCGTCAAGAGATGTTAAGAACCTTTGTGCCATTTTGATACAAATCTAAAAAATTTTTGTCAAGGATATTTACAAGCAATAACCGATTAACAGCGTCTTGCTTAGAGCACCAACAATACAACCACTGCACCGAACCCAGGACATTTATTCGTCGCTGCCTCTGGACTCCATTATTACGAATCCCTCTAGAAGACATGGTGGAAAATGTTCCTTTGATGTATGCTTACTGCAATATTTGCTGGTCTATTTTGTATACAGTCACAAATGTCAATTTGAAATTTCAAATAGCGCCTGGGTGAAAATGTTATTGCAAAAATTGATTTATTCGCTGCACGTTTGTGTAAGGTCGAGATGGAACTGCACGTTAAAAATCAGCCCTTTAAATCATTCAGACCAGCGCAAAAGAAAACCAATCAAAACTGTCAGATGATTTTATTACTCCGTGATAATTACTCAGAAATAGTCCAACGCAAAAAAAAAAAAAAAATCCCCATGTCCCCTAGAGGACTCCGTACGTTATTGAAATACTCAACAAATCTCACGTTTGACAAGGACCAGAACAAAAATTCACATCACTTAAGATTTCATTTCTGTGCTTGTAATTTCACATTTTCAGTGGTTCTTAAAGTGACTTTTGTTTTAACCGTGGGTTAGTAGCCCTCAAATGTACATGCCCCTTTTAATACACCAAGATTTTTCTAATCTACAAAAGAAATTAAATAAAGCTAGGTGAGCAAATATTTTAATTTAACTAAAAACTAATTTTGGGAAATTCAATAAATAAAAATCCACAATATTTAACTCATGACAACCCCCTTTTTGATTCAGGTCAGCACCCCATAACACATCTATGCTGGTTTTTCCAGCAAGATTTAGTTTTAAACTCTTTGTCATTTCATAACTTAAAATGTTGAACTCATTCTTTGCCGATTTAGATACATGCCATGACTCACTGCAACACAGTGGGAAAAAAATAATAATAATAATAAAAATTGTCTTCAGCAGTCTGGCAGACATAAGGATTAAGCCAAAACTGGCTGGAACTGTTTACACAATTTAATTCACTTTATCTAGTACCTCAGATCATGATGCTGCCAACACCATGCACCACAGTAGAAGTTGCGTTCTTTTGGAGAGTCTTGTTCTTGTGGCAAATCTGGTATTTAAGCCAATAATTTAGGGAGATTCTATCCATCTTTCGATACCTTTTAGACCAGATTTACAAAGAATGCAGTAGGTTGATTGAGGTCACAAACCATTAGGTAAACACTCCCCTCAGTGTTAAATTACTGACAAATGCACAATAAGATCATGTTGTCTGTAAGATCTAGTTCTAGGCAATAGAGGTTATAATCCAAAGGACAATGTTGGACTTTATTGAAAAGGTGGTTTTGCAAACCTTTTGTTTATGCAACACATGCATAAACTAAAGGGTTTATGCAAAGGATATTCTCACTTGCAACTAGGATGTTGCATTTTTTTTATTCAAAGCTCAGAAAATCAAATGTTTTGAATAGCAAACACCTATGATCAGAGTGACATGAAGTCCATTTAGCATGTGTTGGGCTTCAGATGAGATATTTTCATGCCAAAAAGTAGGACAAAAGCTTATGGAAAAGCATATTTTAGATATAGTCCATGACTGAGGGACCCGAGAGCATTTGGGAGAATTAGAAGGTCCTACGGTTCATCATATCTGAAAAGTTTCCCTAAAATAAGACGGCTACAGCTAGATATTCTCATCGAAACCGCAAGTACGATAAACATACAAATAAATCGACTGCAGTCAAAATTCCTGCCACAAATTCAGGAGACCATACGATCAGTTTCCCGGGGGATGGCCATTGTGTAGTTAACCTTAAATCCCAGTTGCGTCTCATTCTTCACCAGCAAAAATGTCAAGGTTGACCATCAGATTACATAACAGCGTGAGGGCTGAGTGGGATGCTCTGCACGAGCCTGCCGCGAGAGTTCCTGTACACGAGAGGGCATGTTTGGGTTGCGCTCGCGCACACGAGACATGATCACCACCACCGTCGGAATCTTTCTCCTCAATGTGCTCGCCAATGAAGAAAATAAATAAATAAAAATCCTAAGAAATCGCAAACCCCTTCTCTACGTCCCTCCCTCCTTCCTCCCCATCCTAGTGATCGTCGGTGGCCTCTGCGTAAAAATCAGCATGCGGAAGCAAAAGGAGCATGATCATCTTCGTGAACCAGTGTGTGCAAAATGTGCGTGTGTCTTGTGTGAAGCCCCGGGCCAGACGCGATGATGCCAGCAGTAACCATGATCTTGACGCTCCACAGATGACGCGCCTGGAAACGGTACATTCTGATACGCATTAACGAAAAAGGAAAGACAAAAATAATAATAATCACAATAAAATGAGGTCGAAAAGCAAATTAACATTTTAAGTAAAAAAAAAAAAAAAAATCTTCACGTGGATGAGGAGCATGCTGTAATTACAAACGTGCCTGTCAGTTTAAAAACGTGCCGCCGCGCACACTGCGGCACACAGAATGTACTTTCATTAAAAAGCTGGGAGCTGACAGCATGTGCAGCTTCAGAAACTCTAAACACTTATTTGAATCATTTAGATGAACTGCATGCACAGGTTGGACAGAGTGTTCCTAAAGGGAAAGAAACGAATCTTTTTCATCATTTGCCCTTGAAATTAAAGCAAGAATTATAAATTTTTTTATGGATACGGCCAAGCATGATCACTCTGCAGATGTCTGATGCTCCCCTTTCGCCCCCGGTGCATCCCCCTATTGTCACCCACACACTCACCTGTCTTAGTTAACAGTGCCGACATGCTCCATGCCACGAAGAGGACACTGCAGATGAAGCAGACCTGAACGAACAGCATCTCCCTCCTCTTGCGAACTTTGAAGATCTTCGCGATTATCGTCTTTTTGGACGGGCACACGGTTTCGGAGTCGTCCCGCTCCATGCTCCGCAGCTCGCTCGGCCGGGGGCCACTTTTTTCTGGCGCGTCCTTGAGAGCCGAAGGGAAAGCTGCCGCCCGGCTTGTCTCTTCACACGGAGTACAGCCGGGATGTGGTCCTCATTTCAAGTCGTCCAAGTGCGCAGACCTAAGAGTAGTGAAGCGAATAGTTTTTTTTTTTTTTTTTTTTTTTCCCTTTCCTTCCCCCGCAGCTTCCGAAGAGCCTTTTAGGCTGGACAGGGCAATGACAGCGCGGTCAAATTTGATCAGCGTGGGTCCAAAATGTATTCAGCGATGCTCCTGAATTCGGCTCGAGTCTGCCAGACTGGACGGAATGTCATTTTGTAGCACGCATCCTGTCCCGAAGGAGGGGGGGAAAATAAAGTCCTTGTCCGCTGAAGAGTTAACGTTCAACATAAGATGCGCCAGTGTTCAGTCACAAACCTGGAAAAACGCTCAGCTGCGCCGCATCACAAATCCTCCGCACCTGCGCCTGTTAAGTGAAACCAATCTGCGCTCATCAGGGATAATTGTTCAAATCGGGCAGCAGTCGTGCCGTGCGCCTCCACCCCTCCCCGCGTATGAACTCCCTCTCCGCGCTGAACAACCGGGCGGGCGAAGAGAGCCGACCGAGCAGAGCACGCCTTAAGTACAAGCGAACTTTGCGACTGCTGAGGACAAGCGCCTGTTAGGATTCCCAGATACTGGAGAGCCAGCTCAGGAATAGTTGGATATTCTTAACAATAACAGCATCATTTTTCATGTAATTTAAAAAAAATAAAGTGCTACAGAAGATGGCGTACCAGCTGTCTTCTTAATTTTGGAAAGAACGTGAATTACGAACCATCACCGAAAGGTTTTATTTAACTGCTGAGTGACTCAACTGCTAGACTTCTTTTCAAAAACTTTAAACTATCTCTAATATTATTACAATTTATTTCCTGGAGGAGCCAGATTTTAGTCTTTCAAATTGAAAGCATCAAGTTTTTTTTTTTTTTTTTACAATTTGTACTTCATTTATTCATTCATTTCTTGTTTACTTGCCATATGTAAGCAGTATATATTTTCAGTATTACTTTTATAGATTAAGCAAATAAGCTTCAGATCCCCTTAATGAGATAAGCTGGATAAAATCCCTCCAACCTGATTTGATTGCTGGTCACCTGTGCTTCTATTCACAGTGAAAAAAAACGTAATCGAGAAGAAAACCTAAATAAAAGGATCAGGATTCTCATGGGGACTTAATTGGGGTTTTAATTTTGTGTTATTTATTTCTTCCCTCGTTATCAAATCTGGAGGTGACTCAAAAAACGTCCAGGGCTTAAAACCCCCCTGCTGGCCAAGAGGCCTCAAGAGAAACTATATTCTCAAAGGGTATGCTGACAAGTGGATATGAAGGAAAACCTTCATATCTTAAAGGTTATGGGTCTGAAATAAATATGTTTCTTTTTTATTTAATCATTAAAATATTTGTCTGGACTTATTCTCTCATTTATGGTACAACGTCAGTGTTAGGATCTGTGTAGTTTCTGTCTGTCTAGTCCTGTTTTCCCCTGAGTCTGTCTTGATTGATCCCAGCTGTGTGTCGTTCCTGTGATTACCCTCCCAGTGTATTTAGTCCCACCTGTTGTCAGTGTTCTTTGTCGGATCGTCGTCGTGTCTCACGTCTGTGTCTGTTCCTGGGCTGCCAGAGATTGTCTGTTGTTCCTCCTGGTTTTTTCATTAAATTATATTTCATCATGACTACCTGGGATTCCCGGCGTCTCTCTCAACCACACATCATGACAGTCAGTATAGATTGGTAATTTATGATCAATCTTTCCCCCCTGTGTTATCCTTACAGGTATTTGAAACCTCGCTCCATTCATTTCTATATGAATTAATTGTTTTAAAACAATATTTCATTGAATGCTTTGGTATTTGAAATGTTGAAATAGCACAAAGATCGCAAAGATAGATGCATAGAAGAAACACGAGCAGCAGTAAGATATTAGGACTTCAAAAGCTTTACATATTTGAAATGAATGATTTTAAAGGAGCTTTTTGTGTCTAAATCTAAAACTTTGTTATGAAGAATCTCTGTCATACATGTGGTTTCTGGATTTCAGTAAACTATCTCCATGGTGAACTAAGGAAGTAGTCGTATAAATGATCAAAGGTGCTTGATGAGTTTGGTAAAAAAAAAAAAAAAAACGTGTTTAAAATTTTTAATCTATGGGAAATTCAAACAAAATCAATCCGTTCCTCAATTTTAATTAATCTCTGCTCTTACTATAGGTTTGATTAGTTTGTGTGGTTCATATTTTAAGTTGAACATGATCAAATGCACTAAACAACTGAAGATAATGATTGTTATTTTTAAACTGCATGAGCACAGAAGGCAGAAAGCTGCCGCTGCAGGTGAGCTTCAATGCAGGACGGCCTCCAAATAAATATCTGCTCGTTGTCCTGTACAACCTTAGACTTCGGAGAGTCGTATTATCTGTGTTCAGACTCGACTCTTTGAATTGTCTTTAAAAACTATGTGTGCAGAAAAAGTTTACAAATTCAGCTCTTCCTTGTCTGCACTGAAAGCACCGCGCTGCTCGCCATTGATCAGCCCAGAACATGGTGATCTTTCACACCGCCGGAGCTTCGCAGTGCCGCTAATGACAAAATCATCCATATCTTTTTACAGCTGGATTATGAAACCAAATCCAATATCTTTCTGGGTCCCTGAGCATATCCCCTTTTAATAACTGGCCTGCAAGTCACCTGCAATCCCCATTTTGATATAAAGCTGAATAATTGAGGTTGTAGATCCTCCAGCTCAGAAGCATCAATGCTTCCATTACCCCACAAATCTAAAAGGAGATGATTTTTTTTTTTATGGCCTCAAGGTTTTAACTGCCATGATAAAAAAAGGGCTTATTCTAGTTGCTTTTCAGAAAATTGGTTTATATGGAGAGATCTATTGGAACTGGGTATGCAAAAAAATTATATTTCAATGGAGTCACTGCAAGAAGCTACACACAAGCTGTATGTTAATACTTCCTGTAAGAAAAAGATACATTTAAACTGACTGTTTGATATGAAGTTTTACCACATTCACCACTCTGCAAAGAGGTCCTGAGTCATCCCTTTCTTTTGCTTTCAAGAGTCTTTTGGAGCCATCATCCCACATGTTCTTGTTGACTTTTGCACCTACCCAAGATCGAGTTGCAGATGTGAACGATCCAGAAAAGGAAAAACCCAGACATGTTTCTGTCCAGCAACTCTCCTCGAACAATTCTGAGGAATGGCAAGGTGTTCCCTTGCCAGATAGGATGCAGTACATCCAGTAAGTTCAGAGTTTCCAGCTGGGCATCCTATCAGAGAGACATGACCGGAAAACCTCCCAGGGGAGATGCCCAAGAGGCGTCCTTAAGAACTACGGCACTCATTTTGATGCAGAGAAGCAAGGGCGCTTCAACTCATCTCTACGGCTGAGTTTGGCCACTCTATAGAGGAAAGCATGTTTCAGCCGCTAGATTACAGATGGAAAGGTAAATCAGGCTTTTTGGATCATGTAGCTGCAAAGGCCCAAATCCAACTATCCATCTGTCGCAACCTTTCTATTATAAATACAGAAATCTTAAACTCAAGGGACTCAAAAATAGAAGACAGCATTGGAAATAAGTCTGTTTTAGTTGGATCTTAAGCCACTTTGTTTTGTATTAATCTGTTAAAAACAACAATAAAGCCATTTCATGTGCATAAAATGTTATTTTAGCTGAAATGAGGTACCATAATATTCTGCACAATGTCATTGTGCCCAGGAATTAAAAAAAAAAAAACTGGACAATAATTTAAAAAAAATGGGTGAAAAAGCTGCTGAAGCAGATTCAAGTTCAATTTGGCATCAATGCTCCCCCCCTGACTACTGTACTACTGTTTAGTAGTTGGCACTCTCTCAAGTGTGTCACCAATACAGTCAAGCTGAGGACTCTGCAGAGTCCAGTGAGCCAAATGCAAATGGTGAGGGGGAACTGTTATGTGGCGTTAGATGGCAGGAGCTTGAATTACAGGGTTTTAACTAAACAAAGCAATTAGGCTTCTTTTTTGGAATCTACTGAGTAGTCAACATTCAGAGTAAAGCACTTAAAGACAGGTTTAAGACTGTGCCTAAAAATAACTGGAAACAACTTTCTCACGTACATTTAGCTCAGCTGTCCATTATTGCCATAATTATCAGGCCTCTCCTGGATAAAAGGAGTCCGTTCCCAAAGGGAAGCCTTTAATAACTTCAAGTATAGCAAACTATCTACCATGTGGAAAATATGCTTACTTTAAGTTTTGCTGAGAGCTAGCTGAGAAGTTGGCTTATTTAATTCTTAAAGTAGTGGCAAACACCAAGTCTGAAGTTGCTCGTGGGCAACACAAAGAAATAAACTTTACCTACGAGCACTTCGTTTTTAAGCCCGCTAATTAACATGTTAACTTGTTTTCCAAGTTTAATTAAATCTAATAAGGGTCAAAAGACAATTTTCTTTGAGGGGGTGTAAGTTTTCCTCATGCCAAACTGAGCTAACCTGCTGCCTGTAGATTCATTTAGCAAGAACAAGGCTAATGAGGGTAATAATTATCTGCGTTATGTAAATTTTAAGATAGTCCTTTAGCAACTGAGCACAGCAACTGTCACGCAACTAAAAACACACAAGTGAGGGGGTTGTGAGGCTTCTTGTGCTGCATGTATGCACAGAGGTCTTCTGCTGCCTCCAGCTTTGCCAGCACAGCATGCAGGGAAACTTCTGCAGTCATCTCTGCTTATATTGGTCCACGCATGGATTGGTCATGCTAACGTCAACTTCACACCACCAACGCTGCTGACCGCTTAAGCAAAAAAAACCAAAAAACAACTAAATTTAAAGGATCAAAACCTTTACAATCTTCTGCGGAAAAGAGTTACATAAGATCAGGACTGTCCTTGTCAGTACAGTCTGAGGCAGCTCTCCAAAATCATTAACCGTCATTTCCAAGAAGCATCCAAGAGGCTGTGTGAGAGGGTGAACATGGAAGGCGTTGCGGGTCATTAATCAGAGCTTTCCAAATTCGTCGCCAGGGCTCGTCTTTAGCAGACTGGGTCTTCCGTTTGCGCACATATACAACATGTGTGACTCGTGCCAGTGCCAAGAGATTAGTCCCCTCCAGGCCCCTGTCCACACAGTAGGGAAGGCAGTTGGGAAGAAGTGCCAGGGCCTGCTTACAGAGATTTAGCCACTGCTTTAGACTCCCTGCCTTAGTCAAACTTACACGTCTTTCTGTGTGTACAGTGGGTCCGAAAGAACAGCCACTGATCTGCAGAAGAGATAATAAATGGATCTTCAGAGACGTCCCAAGAACAGCTGGAGTGATGTTAATGTGTTGTCCTGATATAAATGTCAAGACATGTGTCATATACTTGAAGTGCAAATGACTAATGACTAGAGGTGAAGCACTTAACAATGATAGTCACACAACAATTGCCGTTTGACTCAGAACTGCTCACTTCAGCTCCAGCAACATTTTTGCTGGGATGATTCATCTTGTTTATTCGCTGGTTTGCACTGATTATGTTCCAGTCTTAATAAGCGACTGTTGTTTT